GGAGAATGAAGAAGAAGGGATTGTGGCATGGCCATCCCCCCCAGGAGGATGATCTCTTTATGACTCTCTGTCTTTCTCTATGTCTCTGGCAAGCACATACACCCTATAGCAAAATCTCTCTCTCTCCTCCAGTTTATTTATTACTGTCCTGCTTCACTATTAGTGACTGTTGTTAATCTCTTACTGTGGCTAATTTATACATTAAACTTTATCACAGCTTACGTATGCAAAGGGAAAAACAGTATATACAAGGTTTGATCCTATCCCAGTTTCAGCATCCAGCAAAGGTCTTGGAATGCACTCCTGAGTGTTAAGGGTATCAACTATGTTGATGCAAACACTCATGATTTACAAAGTTCTTTTGCATTCATTCTGGCATTGGACCAGACAATCTTGGGGTAGCAGGCAGAATTACTATGACTACCACCACTTTCTAAATGAGGTTGCAGAGTACAGGAAGATGAAAGGACTGACTGGAAGAGCCTCCTGTGCTAGCCTTTCCCTGAGGGCTTCTGGGCACCACCTCCTGCTAAGGATGGGCCAAGGCAAGTCCCTCATGCAGCCCTGCCCTCCCAAGCCAAGGCTGATTAGAACACCATCACATCTGAGACACCCATATCATGCATTAGCAAGAGCTCTGTGGGGTAGCCTCCCAGGGACATTCACCCAACAAAAACTACTGAAACAGTGACTGCTTTCACTGAGGACCCCAAAGTGGCAGGATCTCTGGGCCATCCAACTCTCCCAAGGAGAGCCATCCATGTGCCTCCTGGTAAGGGAGGTGATAGTGCCCTTTAGCTGAAAAGCTTGGGGCAGGTCCTGCTTCTTCAGCCACCCCTCCTCCTGCTCCATGTCATGTCATTACAGAGGAGAGCATTTGGGAGAGAGTTCACAAGACATGTATGTTCAACACATTTAAACAAAAGTGTGTATTTACTTGCGTGGGGGCCTCCAACTCTCCTGAACCTGTACAATCACATGGTTTCTCTCTTCTGACCTGTGGAAGTCTTGGGATTCATTCTAATTGGACATCCCAACAGCCTGCACATAGCCTGTATTAATTGGCTGAGGTGGGGGGCAGTGCCCATCTGTAAGCCATCTTCTGTGCATCAGAGTCTGCTTGTTAATCAGCTTGGGCCTGGGACACTATGCAGGCAGCTGGCTCCAGGGTGGTTAAGCAGCAAGGTTCTGAGGACGTTTGTGGCCACGACCCTGCTTTTCATCTACTGTTTAGTGCACCCAGCCTTTCTGAGACTCCTTGTATGCTCAGCCTTCTTCCCATCCACCTTCTACTCTTCTTTGGACTCTGACACCTGAGGCAGGGGACGCACTTAGATCAGAGTGGGGGTTCCCTGTAGGCCCTTTTCCAGTAGGCTGTTTCCTACCTTGTGCAGGGCAGCTGTAGGCCATCAGGGTACCACTGACAGGATAAGCCACCTCCTAGATGGTCACGTGCCCCAATCCCATGTTCCTAGCACTTGTGCAACCAGATTCCACATCTGTCCCTTGCCACAAGTTGTGTAGGGGTATCTCTAGGACAAATACAGCTTCTGGGGAGCCCCTGCAAAGGAGGCAGTCTGAACTGGAGAGACATCTGTGTCACTCATAAGAGCTCCTGTTGGTTTCCCTGCCTCCTATCTTCCTATGTTAGATTTCTTTCTGTTCCAGTATAACCCTGTTCCAGTATAACCCTCCCTTGCTCAGACATCCTGTTCCCTCATAGCTGGTGACAGACCATGTCTGAATTTCCCATGTTATAGAACCTAGAGAGGGCTGTGGAGGTGAACAGTGTTCCTGGTGCTGGGCTGTGGACACATGCTGACCAATGGATCAAGTCTGAGCACCTGAGGCTAGGTGACTACTAGGGTATGGAAGCTGCTTCCAAGACCCCTTTCCCATGTGAGCTGTGGAGGCACATGTTACATTTAGAGTGGAAACAGCCCTGCTGCCCAGGCCTGGCTGACTGGACAAGGTGTGGAAGCAGGGACCACCATGTGGCTGAGCCTCCTTGAGGGTACACTCCTTGGTCAGCTTCTACCTGGCTCCTCAGGGACTCTGCTGTGCAGCCAAGGCAGGCACCTCTGTGAGCTGGTGAGGCTGCAAAGATGGGTGGACACCCGTCCTGCCCAATGGGGCGCATGTGCAGAGCCTGCACCATCTGTCATGGACGGTGTTAGTGCAGTCCTGGCTGCAGAGGGACTTTCTGCTAGGGAGCAACACCCAAGGTGGAGGCTGAGGCTCACAGAGCAGAGTTGTCAGGACTGGAACTGGGCTGCAAGTGAGTTTGTGATGTTTCGGCATTGATGACTAGACCCCAATTCTTACTAAGGTTCCATAGCCTTCATCTCAGTTTGTATGTGTGTAAAATGCTAATATCTTCCTTTTTTTCTGAGGATTAAATGAGGGAGCACCTGGAAAGTGCCTGGTGCCTGGTGCAAGACTCCTCAAGACAACTATCATGTGTCAAGTGAAAGATGATCTACTCACTGTCCTCTTGACCCTTTTGGACAACTGTGGATGATGAAGTTGTCTCAGTCCACTATTGCATTGTTCACAGAAGTACCTGAGACTGGGTAGTTTATAAAGAAATAGGGGCCAGCTAGTGGCATGGTAGTTAAACGGCTAGATCTCACATGGCTGACTGTGCAGGGAGAGTCCCAGACCCCGTGGCTTGAAAAACATGCCAAGCACGGGTGCTTATGTACCCAAAATCCTGACAGGAGGAAGAAGTTAAAGAGAAGGGATTTTAGCATGAGCATCTCCAATGGAAGATGCATTCTCACTCCCTCCCCTCCCCCGGTGTGTGCATGTAATGATTGACAAAACTGGGAGAAAAAAATAGAGGTTACTGACTCACAATCCTGTTGGCTAGAAAACTTGAAGGTATAGCTTTGGCAACAGAATGGCCTCCGGTATGGCTCAAGGGAACATAGAGGATGGCAAATGTGTGCAGTAAGTGAGCTGCGTGCAGCTCTCTTCTACAGCAACCAACTCCCACAAGAACTCTTTTCTTACTAGAGCTAGAGCTCACTGCATATTCCAAGACATCCTTAATCTATTTATGAGAGTGTGACTTCCATGATGCAATCACCATGATCCTAGGACTGCCCACTAGGCCTCACCACCTCTTGACATCAAATCCCGAAACATAAAACTCTTGGGGACAAACCACGATCCAAACCCTAACAATAGGAAAGGGGGCTATAGGAGTTTTCCTCAGAAACAGAATCATCGGCCCTTACAGAGCAGCTGTCAGGACAGGTGGGATCTGGCCAAACAGAGGGGAGGTAGAACTGCCCAGGAAAGGTGATGAAGAGGTGCAAAATTAGTGGGCAGGGGAAGGTTTTCAGAGCAAGGGTCCCCAACCACCGGGGGGACTGACCAGTGCAGGTCCTTGGTTTGTCCCATCCTACTCCCCACTGTGAGGTGGTGGTGGTACTAGTGGTGACGGAGTGGCAAGCAAGGCTTTGCCTGTGTTTGCAGCTATTCCCTATTGCTCCAATTGCCACCTGGGCTCTGTGTCCTGTTGGAAAATACAGCGGTATTGGTTTCTCGTGGGAGCTCAAAACCTATTCTGTGACTATTTCATTGCATATTGCAATATGGTAGTGGTGGAAATGGGGTGCACAACTGATGTGGTGTGCTTGCGTCATCCTGTGACCAACACACCCTCCTTCGGGGACTGTTTTCACAAGGGCTTGGTCCCTGCTGCTGGGAAGACTGGGGACGGCTACTTCAGAGCAATGGTTCTCTGTGCCATCCCTACTAGGGCACACTTGGTAACGACTGGCAGGTTGGCTGGTTGCCACGATAAAGTGACTTGCTACTGACATCTAGTGGGTATAAGGCTTGAGACGCGGCTACACCGAATATGCTAGCCCTGCCCCAATAATGCACTACCCAACTCCATCAGTACCACGGAGGCTGAGAACCTGATTAGAGCCATGTTTGAGTGCACGATCCCTGAGAGGGCCTCTGGTTTGACACAAGCGTGTGGCACCCTCAGCGTCCGGTGGGCCCACAAGGGCAGCTCTTGGTAGCAGAACAGGTTGTATAACCGGCACACCACGTAGTAAGGCGCCAGAGAGCTCCACTCGGTTCGCAGAAACGCAGAAAGCCCAGCGGTCGGGGCGGCTCCTCACGGGGCGGGGCGGGGCGTGTCCAGCAATCACGCAGGCGCACTGTCTTACCTCCGCTTGGCGCCGTTTCCGGTCTCTCTTTTGCGTCCGGGGCACGAGACCTCGCCTCCTGGCTCTGAGCGGAACCGGACGTGGCTTCCTGCTCCGGGTGGGAAGCCGCGGCGGCCCCGTCAGCAACGGGCGCTGGGGCCGCGGCGCCAAGGGGCGGCGGCCGCGCTGCGCCATGAAGCTGTACAGCCTCAGCGTCCTCTACAAAGGCGAGCCCAAGGCGATGCTGCTCAAAGCCGCCTACGACGTGTCCTCCTTCAGCTTCTTCCAGAGGTCCAGGTGGGCGGCGGTCGCGTCCTCCGGCAGGGAGCTGGGGGTGGAGAAAGCTTGGGAGTGGGATGGGGACGGTGAGGAAGGACCTAGGGGAGGGGGGAGGTCGGTCAGATACTAGGAGGCCCGGGGAGGGCCAAGGAGGGTCGGGTCAGGAGGGACCCTGGGGGTGGCTCAGGGGAGGGTCGGGATCGCACGTCGAGAGGATTCAGAGTCGAGCGGCTAAGGTCGCAGAGGCCGGGGTCGGGGTCGGGAGGACCCGGGAGTGGGGTCGGGAAGGATCCTGGGGGTGGGTCGCGAGATCGTCAGGGGGTCGGTCACCTGCCGGGAGGATTTGGAATCTGAGTCAGGGTCAGGGAGGGTGGGTCGGGGAGGCGTGCGGCCTACATGGTGGGACTAGCGGTGGCCTCTTCCTCATCCACGGACTGCTCTTCCTTCCGTGAAAGGTACATGATTTTTGTAGAACATCTTCAGGTACTCAGTGTTTCTTTTCTTTTCTTTTTCTTTTTTTTTTTTCACGTTTGTATATGTGGAAACTGCAAGGGGACTTTGAAGTAGCACGGATCCCTGAGGTTCATGCCTAGGCTGTCTGGCTAGTGGGCGAGGCCCAGAATCTACCCTTCGACTCCTACCTCCCACTAGGGATCCCCACGCAGGCAGTTGGAGCAACACGTTTATATTTTTTTCTGGGTTTCCTGGGAGTTCAGTCTTGAGAGGTATGAGTGTTCCCCTCCTCCCCTTTTCTGTATATGAAGTCACTGAGTCCCCCCCTCCCCAAGAAACGATATTCCACATCCAGCTTGGATTCAGACCCAGATTTATGCTTCCAGGACAACTGGTGATACGAAAGGGGACTAGTGGTACCAAAAAGGGCCCTATACTGAAGGTTTGGGGGGAAGTTGGGATCTGCAGGGCTTACAGGCTTTTAAATAGGGGGGGGGGACTTTAACTGTAGGAAAGTAGGTATTAGGAGGACCACAGATATGTCCAGCCTGTCTGGGAGGATGTAAGGGTGACAAGGAAAAGACAAAGATTCCATGGGATCAACATCTGGTTTCTTGTCTCAGAGTCTGGTGGAACCTGCTGCCTGGGTACTGTTTTTAGTGGTCCCTGCAGCCGCTTGTTCCTGAGGAGAGAACCTCAGTGGCTTACTGGATCTGAAAAGCTTTGTTGTTCTGTTGAAGCTTTTTGTTACTTTTGGGTTCTATTTCTATTATGGTAAAATGCATGTAAAATAATGCACATGTGAAACTTACCATCCTAACCATTTTCAAGTATACAGTGTCCTGGTATTAAATACATTCACATTGTTGTGCAAATGTTACCATTTATCTCCATCACTTTTCTTCTTGTCAAACTAAAATCATGTTTCCTTTAAATGCTAACTCTCCATTCCTTCCTCCCCCAGTCCCTGGTAGCCACCCTTCTACTTTCTGTCTCTTTGATTTTGACTTCTGTGGACCTCATATAAGTGTGACTGGCTTATTGCACTTACATAGGTTCATCCATTTTGTTGCATGCATCAGAATTACCTTTCCTTTTGAGGCTGAATCATACTCAATTTTGTATAAACACCACACTTTGCTTGTTTGTTCATCTGTTGGACATTTGAGATGCTTCCATGTTTTAGTTACTATGAATAATGCTGCTCTGAAAATGAGTGTGCAAATAGCCTTTCCAATTACTTTCCCCTTGTATCCAGAGTAAAATCGCTGCATCATTTCTTGGCTCCTTCTTGAAGTTCTTGTTCCCTTGCTATCTCGTCTTTGGCCTCTGTTCTCTGCACTGTGTTGTTACTTTACCCTGATTGAGTTTTGGTGCCAAGTTGGCTGTGATCTTTGTTTTTTTTTTTTTTTTTTTTTTCCTCCAACAAGTACAGTACTAAAGGACTATCTCCACAAGTGTCTTTTAAAATATTACGTGTTCCCATGTACCTTGTTTCCTTCAAAGACCTTCTCACTTCTGTCTTTCTTGCCCTGTAAATATCAGACCCTAGACTGAAAACTTTGAAATCATTTCCCCCTTTTTGGCTCTTGCAGATGGGCTCTCACACAATTAATACAGTCTGCCTTTGCCTAATTATGATCCTCTCTTAGCACATTTCTCCTAGTTTTACTGCAGAGGCTTCCTTAGGTGTGGCCTTTTGTCATAAGAGATGGTTTCAATCATACTCTCTCAGGATTCTAGTAGCAAGTCCTACGGTGTGCCCAGTGTTTATGCATTTTGAATTCACACATGGGGTCCAGGGCAGTGACTTGCCTGAAGTTCCAGCTTCCAGTGGTGGAGCTGGATGTCAGCGTCAGCACGTAAGTCCATGTGACCCTGCTATAGCACTGCTATGGACCCTTAATCAGGACCCTGTTCCGGTGGCCCTGACTGCCCTCTGGATCATTCATGACATCACCAGCGACTGTTCCATCTGGCTGCATTCTCTCTGTTGGTCCCACCATGAGCCTTCTCCTCTCTCTCAGGGTTTGGCATGGTCACTTCCCACTTTCTGGTTTGGGAATCCACTTTCTTCCATTCTAGAGCTCCTGGCCAGTCCCTGGATGATCCCCAGAGGCCTGAAGCAGCACTCACCTGTGGGTGAGCCATGTGCCAACAGACTAGCAAATGTGACTCATCCTGTTGTGGTGACTTGTAATTGTCTATATTCTTGTCCGTTTATAGTGTTTATTGATCACTAAGGGTGAAATAGAAAGAAGTGAAACCAAGAAGCAACGTCCCATAATGTGTGCACTCAGAGGTCACTTTCCCTGTCCACTTTGGGGACAAAGCAAAGGAGGAAGGTGATAAGTATGTGCTTTGTTTCCAGTGTTCAGGAATTCATGACCTTCACAAGCCAGCTTATCGTGGAACGCACAGCGAAGGGCAGTCGTGCATCCCTCAAAGAACAAGGTGAGGGGCCAACAGGTGGCATGGTGGGTAAGGCACCGGATTCCCATGTGTCTGACCCTGGTTCAAGTCCTAGGCCTGATGGCTTGAAACTCATACTGGACATGTATGTGTGCATGCCCAGAATCCCAAGAGGAGAATGGAGAAGAAAGATTTGCAGCATGGCCATCCTCCTAGGGGGTTATTTCTTGCTTTCTGTCTTTGTAATGAGCAAACATGCCCTATAGCAAAAATATCTAAAAAAAAATAAAATAAAATAAAAAGTGAGGACGCCTGACCTCCCCGTGCACCATCCAGCAGACAAGCTCTCAGCCAGTACAGGGCTACTGGGCCTCACACCTCTGCTTACTTGTCCCCTCCCCTCTTCCTCCTGTCCCTGCTTATGCAGGATTCTGTGCCCACCTTCCAAATCCAAACTTCTTGGTGACCAGCAGGTGGTATAATGGTTACGTTGCTGGGCTCCCCTGTAGTCGACTGGTTTGAGTCACACTGTGTGTGTGCGTGTGTGTGTGTGTGTGTATGTATATGTATGTGTGTGTGTGCACATGTGTGTATGTGCCCAAGATCCCTAGAGGAGAATGGAGGAAAGGAGATTGTGGCATGACCGTTCCCTGGGGGTGGGAGGGGGTATTTCTGACTTTCTGTCTCTCCGGTGAGTACATGTACCCTATAGCAAAAATCTCTCTTTAAAAACAAAACAAAACAAAAACACCAAGCTTTTTGAACAAAATTGCCCCAAAGTTTAGACTCACTTGAGATTAGGTCCAACCCTCTTGAACAGTAAGGCACCCTCATTTTCAGTCTTTTTCCCTTCCAAGTGGTAGGGCTTCCAGAAAGGATGTCCAACTATGGAGGAAACACTGCATTCTGAGTCCCTTGAATGTTTTCATCTGGAACCTGAAAACTCAGTTTTTCTGCTTCCTAAATCAGGTGTCATATAAAGATTTTTAGATGTTTATCTTAAAGGTGTTTGTTATGCAGGTAGATTAGGAAAGAATGGCATGAACTTTGTCGGGAATGCAGATCATCTCACATACACTGACGTCAAATCGTGTGGGCACAGGGCCTGGGTTGGTGATACATAGGCACCTGTGACTCAGGCACTAGCGAACATGCATGCTTCTGCCCTTTCAGCTGCCCTCAGTCGTGTCTGCCTTCCCCACACTTAACTACTCAAAGATGATAACTGACATTGCCAGATATGGAAGACCAAGACCTTAGGGTGATTTCCTGACTTTTAGCCACTCTGAAAGTGTGTTTTAGAAAGTGGAGGTACCTTGGCTTGTCCTGTGTTCACTCACTTTGGAAACAGCATGGAGCCTCAGAGGGCTTCAAACCTATAAGATATAGCCTAACCTGACCTGAGCTCAAAGGGGTAACTTGGAGGGCATGTGGTCTGGGTGTGTTTGTGCCCACTAGTAATTCCTTTAGACCCTGTCTCTGCACTGTATGCCTTTGGGCATCTGTAGCTCCTGCTGGCCACTGAGCCCTGCTGCAGAACTTTTCCTCCACTGCACTTGGAGCTGTGGGATTTTAGAGCAGTTGCTTCTTGTGACCTGAAAGACAGGTACAAGTGCTTTGAGGCCTTAACCATTTGTGGGTGGAAGGGGTGACATGCTTCTGCAAGTGTCCACATGACTGATCTGGTCTCTCCAGAGTACCTGTGCCACGTCTATGTCCGGAGTGACAGTCTTGCAGGTGTGGTCGTTGCTGACAACGAGTACCCGTCCCGAGTGGCCTTCACTTTGCTAGAAAAGGTGAGTGTATATTTTGACCAGATGGGATGGCAAGTATGGAGTCCCTGGCCTGAGCTGGGACAGCCACACTGTCTATAGGAAGGGTTGGACAGGGTCCAGAGCAGCGTATCTGGCTTTTCCTCACTCAAAACGAAGAGCCCATTTTATGTCCAGGTCACCAATCACAGTGTCTCTCCTGTGGGACACAGCTCTCGGGGCAGCTGTGTCTCATGTTCTTCCACCCCAAGCCTCTGCTCTGTCCTCTCCACAATGTCCTTGCTAACTCCGTGTTGCCTTTTGTGGTTCTTGTGACCTGTCCCTTGATGGAGGTCAGTCACAGCAGGGCACATCACACTTGAATGTTGATTTCTCTGTATGGTGCTAGCTATGGTCCCTTTGCAGAAAGTGGCCTCATTTTGTTTCCCATGGCACTAAAACACTTCCCAGCACATGAAATCTGGGGGTTACTTAAATGCAAAAATAACTAATTCCCTTTGTGAAGAATTGCTTTGGAAAATTAGAGGGACAACATCCTTCTTTCTGGATACCCAGTGGCCTAAACTCAGAAGATGTTTGTCATTCCTGGGATGAGGTGCCTGTGGGGCTGAGCATATGTCCCTTTTCATTCCAAGTTTGTGGATATATTTTAATGAGAAAAAAGCCAGGAGGAGTAACTTAAGCCTAGATGTACCCCCATGCTGCTGGGTATCCTCCCCCCCATTCCTCCAGGCTCTGGGAACTGCTTCTAGGTGAGGCACTGAGATGTGCAGCCTTGTTGTGGGTAGTGTGGGAGCGCAGGGTGCTTTGTTTCTCAGTGTTCAGGAGAATGTTCCTATGTAGGGAGCGTGATCTTGTGAGGCCTTTGTCTTGCAGGTGCTGGAGGAGTTTTCCCAGGAGGTGGACAGGATACACTGGCCTAGGGGGTCCCCTGCTTCCATCGAGTACACAGTCTTGGATCGCTACCTCAGCACATACCAGGTAGGGTCAAAAACACAGTAAGGGGACTACATGGCTAGACCTGGTGGAGGCTGGAAAAGCCACCCACCCTGGTCACTCTGGTCAGTGACTTCTTGAAGGTGTCTGATATGCTTGAGAGTCAGGGAATTTGCCTTCACACCTGGAAACCCAAGCTCTGGGTATGCATTTGGCTTGTCTGTTGTGTGGTTGAACAAACAGGCGGGGGTTTCCAACCCTTGAGCATCTGCAGCCTCCTCGGCTTTGAGATTTGATTGCATCATCTTTCTGGCTCTTTCCCAGAACCCCCGTGAAGCTGACCCCATGTCCAAAGTACAGGCCGAGCTGGACGAGACTAAGATCATTCTTGTGAGTTTGAAGGTTTGGGAGTATAAGCCCAGGGAGGGCTGGGGGCTGCGGGGTGAGGTAGAATGGGGGTATCCTCCAGTGGGGCTTAGCCATGTTACAGTTCCTTTTCCAGTTCTTCATTTTGCCAGGAGCCTGGGCACACATGTTTCTTTTTTTTGTTTTTTTTTGTTTGTTTGTTTTTGGAGAGGTTTTTGCTATAGGGCATGTACGCTCACCAGAAAGCCAGAGAGAGACAGAGACAGAAAGCAAGAAATCACCCCCCCCAGGGGGGATGGCCATGCCGCAATTCCTTCTCCTCTATTCTCTCAGGATCTTAGGCATGCACGCACATGCTCCCCGTGTGAGTTTAAGCCACCAGGTCCGGGACTCGAACCGCGGTCAACTACGTGGAAATCTAGCTTCATAGCCATTATGCCCCGCCAACTGCTGGTCCCCATACTTGATTGTTTTTCAAGCCACCAGGGCTGGGGACTCAGATCCTGGTCAGCCACATGGGATGTGTTTACCTACATGGAGAGTTTGACCACAATGCTATGGGACTGACCTTATCCTGGTTTTAATAGTAACCCCAGCACCTCTTCTTATCTGTCTCAGTTCATGGCACACACCATTCGTAGCGTCTGAGCTGGGACCCAGTGTGATTGAGTCCTCCTCTCATGGCACCCTGTCTGGGTGCTTATTATGCTCTAAGGGTATGTCTTAGTGTGCTGTTGCATCGTTGCCAGAAATCCCTGAACCTGGCTGATATAGAGGTTGATAGGGGCACGGTTTGGAGATCTGAAGTCCAGGGACTAGCTAGTGAAGACGCAGCATGGTGGAAAGTAGGAACTGCCCTTCAGCTTTTCCTGGTTCTGGTCTGTACCCATGTGGCCACTCTCTGCCCTATTTCCTCTCCTTGTGAACCCACCAGAACTCAGACACAGGACCCCACTCTACCTGCCAAATCACTGATCTCCCAAAAGCCCCTTTTGCGCACTACAGTTGGGTCAAGTTTTCAGTCGACACTTTCATAAGAGTCACAACACAGAGAACTTTGGGAGACATTCATTAACCCATATTCTAGTAGGGCCCGAGCCTTTGAGCCTGGTTCTCACCACTGGGGCTTCTTCATGGAAGATGTCAAAGTCTTGTGGTTGGGTAATAGGTGGGCAGAATGAGCACATGGTGTGGACCCATGCATGGAGGGTCAAGGCTGCCAGAGATGTAAGAAAAGCTGGGGCCCTGCCTTTTTTTCTTTTCTTTTTTTAAATGTTTTTTTTGCCATAGGGCACGTGTTCTCTCTAGGGGGAGAGGCAGTGCGAGGAAAGGTGAGAAATCACACCCCTCCTGAAGGGGGCTGGCCATGCTGCAGTCTCTTCCCCTCCATTTTTCTCCTGGGATTTTGGACATGCATGCCCCTGCCCAGTGTTAATTTTCAAGCCTCCAAGGACTGGGACTTGAACTCCTAAACTGCGGTCAGCCATGTAGGCACCTTCACTACCACATCACCTGCTTTCCTCCATGGGCCTGCATTTTTATCTGAAATCTGCTTGTGACTGCTACTTTGATTTCTGTTCCTACTTTCGTTTTTAGTCCTCGGTGCATGTGAACCAGGAGCATCCATGTGTTTTCCTCAGGATCTGCCCTTGCAGCCTTTCCCTATATCTGTTCTCTTGCTTTCCCCACCTCTGTTCTGTTCAGTAGACAGTCATTCTCCTTCTTAACTCTTCTGCAGCTCTTGAATCCACTCCAGGACAAAATGTGCTTTCCTAGTACTGTTTCAGCTGGAGGGACTCTCCTGTACCCTCTTGTGCCCAGATTGCAGCCAGGCCCCCAGGGATGGGTCTCTGACTCCCTGCTGTCACTGTGTGTTTGTGTGTGTCTCCAGCAAGCATGTGAGCACCTTGGATGCCTTTCCACCCCCTACTTACCTTATAGTGTCTGGTTCACACCAGAGTAGAGGCGAAGTCCAGGGGAAATCTTACCCAATGTAAGCACCAGTGTCTCTTGAGGTGTCCCAGGGTGTGGCTTTGGGTTGAAGACTGGATGCAAAGACCCTGGGTATCTGTCTCTTGTCACCTCTTGAGCTCACTCCACATGTTCTACCCAGCCCTCTCTCTGCCTCTGCTTGAGGCCATCTGTGAGACTCCAGGGCCTGGAACGCTGCTCTTCCTCTGCTGTTCCACTGTGCTGAAGTCAGACTCACCAGCTCTGTTCTAGTGTAGTGTGGGATTCAGGCCCTCGGTGTCTGTATCCTTTTTTTCTTTGTTTTACTATAGAGGATGTATGCTTGTCAGAGAGTTACTGAGAGAGGGGAAGTGAGAAATCACCCCACTGTGGGGATGACCATGCCATAATTCCTTCTCCATCCTCCTCTTGGGATTTTTGGGCATGCATGCACACTCACTCAACTTATTTTTCAGGCCACCAGGTCCGAAAAATCGGACCTGTACAGTCGGCTATGTAGGATCCAGTGGCCTTAACCACCATACCACTTGGCTGGTCCTGTTGTCTGTATCATAAACCAGTCAACTTTGCCATCGGAGGTCTGAGACTCCGCATGTGGGATGATGACATTTCTTTTTTTTTTTTTTTTTTTTATTTATCTTTTTGCTATAGGGCATGTGTGCTCACCAGAAAGACAGAGAGACAGAAAGCAAGAAATCACCCATGTGTGTGTGGGAGGGGGGGACACGCCACAATTCCTTCTCCTCCATTCTCCTCCTGGGATCATGGGCATGGACACACATGCGCCTGGCATGAGTTTAAGCCACTGGATCTGGGACTCGAACTGCAGTTGACTATGTGAGAATCCAGCAACATAGCCATTATGCCACTGCTGGTCCCAGGGACAATGACATTTCTGCTAGCTCTTCAATCTGTGCCATTTCCAGCCATTCTGCAGAGGGAGCAAGCCACTGCTTCCTCTGCCCTGGCTTTCCAAGGACCTCCCTGCACACTCCTCTCCAGGAAGGGCTGCACTGTGCACCCTGCTGCAATCTGCAGGGATAGTGTTGGGCGCAGAGTGCTGGACAAATCACCTCATGATGCCATTCAGAGGGAGGTAGTGCGAACATGCATCCCTGTGTAGCTCACAGTTTCTTTGGAATCCTGATAACTTCAGATGACAAAAGGGTAATAGATGAATTTACTGTAATGATATATTTTATTTAATCTGCTATGTCCAAATATTACTCTTTGGACACAATGAGTGTGAAAAGTTATGAGTAGGTACTTTACAGACTGAGTCTGAGTCTTTGAAATCCAACAACTCTTTGTTCTTCTTGGATTGCAGATGGTCATCCCACTGCTCCTGCTGTCACAGGGCCTTTTCTGTGTCTCTTAGGATACTAGTCATAGAGTCAGGGCCTTCCGCAATCCAGTTGGACTTCATCTGAACTAATTCCATCTCATTTCCAAAGATCATCGTATTCAGAGGCTCTGGGTGGACATGAGTTTTGGGGGGATACTGTTTAACACAGCACAACCACATAGTGCCCCAGTAGTTTCCTCTTCTCAAAGAACCCACCTACACACATGTGTTATATGTACACACATACATAGCTATGAATGTGTGTATCCATGAACTGCCTTGAAGCAGGGTTACCCAAGCATGTGCCGGGACTTTGAAACCTCCAGGTTTCATGGGAAATCCTCAGGTCCTGTCCTATATTTGGGCATAGCACCTGTTCTGGGACATGTTCGGACATTTACTGGTGATGTGGTAACTATATTGGAGGGGAGCTCAGAGCAAGGGCTTCCCTATCTAGCCTGACCTGGGGTTTTTTATCAGCTGCCCTGGATGGGCACAGAGCTATCCTCCTTCTCTGCAGCACAATACCATGGAGTCTCTGCTGGAGCGAGGTGAGAAGTTGGACGATTTGGTGTCCAAATCTGAAGTGCTGGGGACACAGTCTAAGGCCTTCTACAAAACCGTGAGTACCTGCCTCACCCTGGGCAGAGGCACAGCTGCCAGCAGTGAGTGTAGGGTCCTTATTCCGTGAGGGCCTAGGTAGTCAGTGAAACACTGACTGCCATCACACAGGGCATGAAGGAAAGCCCCAGGAGTTTCTGCTCACATTGACCCAACTCTGACAGTGCTGGTCATCTCTCTCAGAATTTTAGGCACCCAGCCCGAGTTTCAAGCCACCTGGTCCAGGACTCGATCCACGGTTAGCCATGTAGGAGTCCAGTGCCTTAACCACTATGCCACCTAGTGGCCCCAGGATCCAGTGTCTTCTTTTTTTTTTGGAGAGGTTTTTACCATAGGGCACGTGCGCTCACCAGACAGACAGAGACGGAGGGATAGAAAGCAAGAAATCTCCCCCTAGGGGGGATGGCCACGCTGCAATCCCTTCTCCTCTCGGGATCTTGGGCACGCACGCACTGCCCTGCGTGAGTGTAAGCCACTGGGTCGGGGACTCAAACCGCGGTCAACTACATGGGAGTCCAGCGACATAGCTATTACACTAACTGCTGGTCCCAGATCCAGTGTCTTTTAAGCAGCACATTACTGTTGTGCCATAGAGCTGGCCCTGGAGTCTTATATTTTGATAATAGTGGGGTGTGAAGACAAGGCAAGGAGCTCAGACAAGCATAGGGATGTGCTTGGCACTGAACAGCTTTCCATGGGCTCTGGGGAAGTGCTGCTCGTCTCTCCTTCCCACTGCCTGCAGAGCCCCCTCTACCTCACTGGGTGATGTTGGGCCACCCTTGGGCTTTCTGGCCCTCCTCAGGTCCTCTTTGTTTCTTTCAAGGCCCGGAAACAAAATTCATGCTGTGCACTTATGTGATGCAATCAGCAGACTCCTGTGCCGAGCATCCTGCGTGCCCAACAGAACTGCAGCCTGGAAAGAAGAACTCACAGAAGGCCCTACCAGTGGCATCTTCATTGGAGTTTCCAGGAGGAACAGAGAGATGGCAGAAGGGTGGGGCATTAAATTTTGTGTACAGTTGTGATTTTTAGAATGCATTTGAGGTCCCCAAAATTGTACTTTTGGGCAAATGAAATCATAAACCCCATGTGGCTCATAGACGCTGGGGCTCGTTTCCAGCCCTCAGATAGGCTCTGGGGGAGTCAGAGCCAGCTCTGTTTGGTCCTTGTAGGGCTTTGGGGTTTTGTACATTAATGACATTAACACTTCAGGAGGTGGGGGAGGGGAATCCCTGCTGACAGGCCTGAATTGGCAGAGCCTGACTCTGCCTTGCCAGGCAATCATAGGCTTCTACATTCTGAGCTGGTGTTTCTCTAGAATTGGCTTCCACAAGGGCAGCCCCTCCCCGCAGCTGTACCTACACCTGCAGACATAGCCTATGGGCAGAGCCGTAGTGGCCAGCGGATTGAGCCCTTGAAGGTGGGGTATCCTTCGGTGTCATATGTTTAGCTGAGAATATTTTCTTCGAGGAAAGTGCAAGCCTAGCTGCACCCAGCTGCCCATGGTGGGCATCAGCCATGACTTGATTTAACATCGGCATCAAAGCAGTGCATATTGTCTGCTCCCAAAACTGATTTTTATTTGCCTATGTGGCTACAAGACTAGGGGCTATACATCTGGACAAGTGGTCCCCTCATGGCACTGTGAGTGGGTGCCAGTACCTGAACTCTTCCCAGCACCTCCTGTTATCAGCCGGTTCAGCCTGCCAGCTCCTGGTCAGAGGCAGCTGTGGGGTCGATGGAGCAGTTATGGATCTGGGCTGGTGTGGCCCAGCGCTGGACACCAACAGGAGCAGCCTGGGCAAATGGGCCCAGGATGCTCCTCGGGTGCTAGAGCCCTCTTCCAAACTGACTCCTTGTATTCCATGTGCTCTGGATGTGCCGCTGTCTCTTAAAGCCCTGCTGGGGTGATGTCGCCCTCATCTTGAGCCAACATGCCCTGAGCTTATGTACTGCCTGAGAGCTCATGCTGTTCCAACCAGAAGTCCCAGCAGTCCTGAATCCCCATCATGGGCAGGGGTCTGCCCTGGGTTCTGAGGACCCAGACTTCTGGCCTCTGCAGCCTGCTCTGTTACATCTCCTTTGGGCACTGAACCAGCCAAAGGCTTTGGCCTCCTCCCACAGCAGGCCACCTTGTCGTGTCCTGCTGCCACAAACACTCCAGCCCAGGGCCTCTGGATGTGCAAATCAGCCAGCTCACTGAGATAGAGCAGCCTGTACCTGAGGGAGGAGGACAATGCAGGGATGCAAGGGAGGGATGGATGTGGGATAGATCTGGGTTAGAGAAAGAGGGACCTCACCCACCTATGGCTACCCATCCTTAAGGGCTCTGGGTCAGCCCTGACCCGGTAGGGCAGCAAGGGTGGGTGAGTGGACCTGGGGCCCTGTCAGGGAGAGAGGGCCACCCACTCTCCCTGCTCCTTATTGTATTCTAATGTTTAAGTTACTTGGCAAGAGTGTATTTTAGTAACTGCTGCCTAACTTTCTGAGAGAGGTTTCTGTCTGGATAAAGATGTCTTCTGAAATTCCAAAATGGTCCTGTGCTTTGTTTGAGCTTCTGGGGAACTCTTTCTTCACTCAGTCTGGCTCCTTGGGGAGGGGCAGGCCTTAGACTGGGGTGCCAATAATCCTGGATGAAGCCTGTCCAGGAGAGGCAGCTGCAGTCCCATCACTTTACTCCTCATAACTGCCTTTCTTGGGGACCTTTCCAGCAGAGCTATTTGCTCCTCTGCCATTGACCAGGTGAAGGTGCCCTGAAGTAGAAGCTACCCTGTGGTCTCTGAATCTTGTCCCAGCTTTAGCTGCTCCGGGAGACTTGCTGGGAAGCTGCCTCCTAGCTGCAGGTGGGAACTTTAGGAGCTGAGGCAGTCCTGTAGGGCACATGGAACATCTTGTCCCAGGCAGGGAGAGCCAAGGCCCCTGCAGGCCAGACTTGGGTTTCAGGTCTGGATTGAGTTTGAGGAGTGGCCTCAGTGGTGTGCTGGAATATGCAGCTTCTGCAGCCCATTGGCATAGCATGTCCCTGGCAGGCCGGCAGGCCCAGTCTTTTTCAGTCAGTACTTGTGACCCTTGAAGCCAGAGATCTCTTCATCTGCCCCCTGAGCAGCCTTGGATATGATGCTCAGGCTTTTCCTGCCCAGAGGACCTGCTGGAGCTTGGGAGGTTAACAAGGACTTCTTGTGGTAACATATGATCAGGAAACTTTGCCCAAAGGAGATGCTACTTAAATGAGACTTAATACCCTCATTGACATCCCTCTTGTCTGTCACACTTGGCCTCATGTAGGTAGCCTCACCCTGTGGACTGTGCACTGAGGCCTGACTGGAGCAGCCACTGGCCTCTACAGAAAGGCCTCAGGAATAATGCATGTGGAGGGCTTGGGACTTAAAGCATGTGCCTTCCCAAGGGAGGTCTAGCAGGGAGAGGCTTCTCCAATTACAGCGATAGCGTGGAGAGCCCTAGATACTGTGTGTCTGAGTGCAGACAGCCCTGTGCTTGCTCGTGGCTGCCAGCCTAGATTGTTTGCAGCTGGCCCTTGAGCTCTGTCTGCTACCCATACACAGGTAAGCACCTGCCCAGGTGCAGCCCTCAGGAAAGGAGTGAGATACGTTCAAGACGGAGGATAGGTTTTGGGTGACCCCTCAGGTCAGGACCAAGGGTACAGGAGCACCATCTTACCTGAAGTCACTGGGACCCAAAGGGTGGGTGCATTTGGTGCCAGGGCTGTTTTGAAGCCTATACCTCTGGCCTAGGGAAACCAGATGTGTAGGAATAGCAGCCTGAGGCAGGCAGCAGTGGGAGAGGGCAGGAACTAAGCCATGCTGTACAGATTGCCTTAGGAACGTGTGTGTGGGGAGGAAGAGGGTAGAGCTGCAGAAGGGCCAGCAGAACAGAGGTGGGTGCTATGGCCCTTTAAAAGGCTGGGTCTGAGTGTACCCCCATGGGCCAGGTGGTCAGGAGGTAGATTGTGGGCAGAACAGGACAGGAGGGCCCTGCAGGAGATTACAGGAAAAGGTTTTCTGTGTTTGGGCCAGAGATACAGGGAGGCAGCCTGTCTCCTTTGTGCCCAGGATAAAGTCCAGTGGCTATCCTGACCCTCAGGTCCTACCACCTGGCCAGGCTGACCCTGGGCTCAGCTCACCTGGACCCTCTTGGGACTTGATGACCTTTGTCCCATGCCCCAGGTTTCTGCCCTGGGCTTGGATATGTGGCCTCCCGAGGTCACAGTCTGCCATGCCATTTCTGCACGCCAGCTGCATCTAGGGCCCGTTTTGGCCAGCCAGCTTTTATGCTGTCCATCTGCACAGCCCACAAGAGGGGTCTGGCTGCCCGGTGTGTCTGCTGGTTGAAGGGAGAGACCAGGGCAGCGAGGGTCTTGGTTTTGGGCACCTTTCCACCTAGAAACTGCCCCTTTGCCTTCATCTTTAGAGGCCACTAGGGTGACTGGATAGGTCAGGCCTTCGTGGTGAGCCAGTTTCATTTCTGGTGCCCAGGGTGGAACATGAGGGGTCCAGAGGACTTGGGAACGTCAGAGGACATGCTGGGGACAGCAAGGAGCCTATGGCCACCAGCACCCCTCCCAGTGTGCCACCCATCCTGCAGGGCTGGGAACATCCAGACAGCTCAAGGCTCCATGCATCCCAACCAGTCAGAGGAGGGTCTGAGCTGGGTCTGAGCTGGGTCTGGCTTAAGCCGGTGCTTCAGGACAGGGTGCTGGTGGGTTCTGGCATGAAGTACTCACTGCACATGAAGCAGCTTGTCCTGTTTTTCTTTTATTTGCAGTTTCCCGAGACAGAACAAAATAATTTTTGTACACTTACAAGGCTCAGAAAGAAAAGACAATGAAACTCAGCAAAAAGAGAGAGGAGGGGGCCGGCCAGCCCTGTGGGCAGCCCAGCCCTTCAGTGCTGGCCGGGCGGCAGCAGCGCCACACCACGGACACCTAGCTAGCAGAGCGGGTGTGGCTTGCCCTTGAGGGGTCATGCAAAATAATTGTCCCCCAGAAAAAAATCCCAAATTATCCCAGACAGGCAGCTCCATGGAGATGATGGGGAGAGGGGCAGGGGGGAGGAGGAGGCCCTGGACATCAGGGGGGCCGGCCACAGGGCCACACGCTGTCTGGCCAGGAGCGGCTCATACAGATCCTGGCAGATATTTACCCTGTGTCCCTGGTGGGGCAGCTGTCCTGACACAGCGTGGACAGGAGGGGGTGTCCACTCTCGGTGTCCGTGGCGTATAGGGTCTTGTGTCTTGCCCTGCCCAGGGTGGAACATGAGGGGTCCAGAGGACTTGGGAACGTCAGAGGACATGCTGGGGACAGCAAGGAGCCTATGGCCACCAGCACCCCTCCCAGTGTGCCACCCATCCTGCAGGGCTGGGAACATCCAGACAGCTCAAGGCTCCATGCATCCCAACCAGTCAGAGGAGGGTCTGAGCTGGGTCTGCCAGAGACTGGGCTTAAGCCGGTGCTTCAGGACAGGGTGCTGGTGGGTTCTGGCATGAAGTACTCACTGCACATGAAGCAGCTTGTCCTGTTTTTCTTTTATTTGCAGTTTCCCGAGACAGAACAAAATAATTTTTGTACACTTACAAGGCTCAGAAAGAAAAGACAATGAAACTCAGCAAAAAGAGAGAGGAGGGGGCCGGCCAGCCCTGTGGGCAGCCCAGCCCTTCAGTGCTGGCCGGGCGGCAGCAGCGCCACACCACGGACACCTAGCTAGCAGAGCGGGTGTGGTTTGCTCTTGAGGGGTCATGCAAAATAATTGTCCCCCAGAAAAAAATCCCAAATTATCCCAGACAGGCAGCTCCATGGAGTTGATGGGGAGAGGGGCAGGGGGGAGGAGGAGGCCCTGGACATCAGGGGGGCCGGCCACAGGGCCACACGCTGTCTGGCCAGGAGCGGCTCATACAGATCCTGGCAGATATTTACCCTGTGTCCCTGGTGGGGCAGCTGTCCTGACACAGCGTGGACAGGAGGTGGTGTCCACTCTCGGTGTCCGTGGAGTATAGGGTCTTGTGTCTTGCCCCCATCCTGTACCCTCCCTTAGCTTGGTTTTGGGGAGAAGATAAAGAAAATCCTTGTTGAAAACGATGTGAATTGGAGGTGGGGGCCCGAACCTCTGCCCAGGAGGCTCTGAAGCCCCCACCCACCCCTGTGAGACCCGCCCCTATACCCAACCACCCTTGGGCTCCTGTGCTTACCCCTTCAAGGTGCCTACCGCCATAAAGGGCCAAGCAGGAACCTCCGCAGTGAGCCCAGGCAGTGGTACTCAATAGCACCCAGTCCCTGTCGGCCTCCCCTCCACCCTGAAGCACCCTAGTGCCCCTGACATGCCCAAGGGGGCCATCCTCACACCTCCCGAGCACCTCAGGCTGGAAAATCACTCCCTCCTTTCACTCCCAACACCACCAACTCTGTTCGGTGAAACCAGTCCATAGCTGAAATGGACAGAGATTCACCTTCTTCAGCTTTCACTCCCTCCTGGTCCACACTTGAAAGCACTCCTACTACTGCAGTCACTTGCCCTTAAATCCCTCTTTGCCACCTGTCATATCACCCACTCTGGCTTGAGGCCTCAGTCCCCCAAACTCATCAGCAGATATGCAGCCTGGCCTCTTTCCTTCCAGTCACAGGGACTCAGATACCTGGGCCAAGACCTGGTTAGCTTACTCCTGGCTGCATACTGCCTGCATGTCGCTGCTGGCCAATAGGAAGGGATGGCAGCCCCAAGGAGGGCCACCTCATGGTGGGCCTATTGAAGCTGTGCCATGGTGTCCTCTGGCCACCTCTGACCAGGCATGGGGCCTGAAGCCCCTCTCTGCACCTTGCTCCCCAGAAGGACCAGAGCTGGAGCCCAGCCCGGGGACTTTGATGGCCTCAGTGGCAGGACCCTGGTCCCTGTGATGCTCCCTGGGGCAAGGCTGACCTGGGCTCTGCTACAGCTGCCCACACTGGGTGCAGGGGATGGGAAGAAGGGGGGAAGTGGGAACGACAGCGACTCTCAGGCACGACTAGCGGGGAAGGGGGCAGCCCGGAGGCCCACAGCCCTCCTCAAGGACACCTGAGGTCACGACAGCCACGGCGAGCACACCACGCGAGCCCATGCGTTGTGGGAGGATGCGGACGCCTGAGGGGTGGAGTGTGTGCATTACCTACAGACTAACACCATTCAGCGCGCGGTGGGGCCTGGGGGCACAGTGCCCCGGCTCAGCCCCAGAGGCCAGGAGCTCGGACAGACACACGTGGAGCTCGGGTGGGTAGCAGCCCCACAGATGCCACTGATGTTACAGCTTTTTCCTCTCTAGTTTTTTTCTTTTCTGATGTCAAGTTTTTGTTTCGTTGTCGACTTGTTTTAGAAACAATTCACATCTGGTCTTGATTTCTGCAGACACAGGCACCAGGGGAGGGGACGAGGCAGACACAAACATGCGACAGGCAGGCCGTGCGCCGAGGGCGGCCAGGCTCCAAACACCAACTCTGTCCGGTGAAACCAGGCCGCAGCTGCAACAGCAGAGAGTCACCTCCTTCAGCACCCCAGCCCCACCTGACCCTCAGGCTTGCTGTCTGCAAAGCGGACGCCTGCAGGAAGGTTGACACTGGTGTCCAGGAAAGGGCCTACACTGGGGAAGGTGCTTGAGTGTCCAACCCACCACTACTGTCCTGGGAAACAGCTCTGGCCTCTGCGCCTATCACTGTACAGCACTGAAGGTCAGGACTTGGGGTTCAGGGCCCACATCTAAGGCCTGCCACTCTCAGGCCCTCGCTTGTTCCTCAGGGATGCCCGCCACACTTGCCTGCCACTGTCCCAACAATGGCTGAGCACCTGTGGCCTCCCCAGGAAAGTCAGGGCCCTCACCTTCACTGCAGCGGGGCCACGGGCGCACCAGAGCAGTGGAAGTGCACATTCTGCCACTTGCCGTCACGGCGGTGCCACACACGCGTCTCCTCAGACTGGCTGGTGCGGGGCCGGCCCTGGCCATCGATGTACTGTGTGAGCCGGATGTAGGCAATGCAGGCCGCGTCCTCGCCAATGACGTGCACATGTGGGTTCAGTATAGTCGTGTGGATCGGCTTGCTGTTCTTGGCCAGCACTATGGACAGGGGTGAAGACTTGGGCCCTGATCTTGCAACCTGTGTCCTCCACCCACATCCTCCCTGACTATGGACTGAGGGGTTCTCCTGGGGTGCCCTGGTACCCACGCCGGATCCTTCACTCACGGTTCTCAAAGTAGAATCTGTGGAAATCCATTCCTTCAACCAGGTTTCCTAGAGCTTCGGGCTCAAATGAGGTCAGGCCCGGGTCGCATATTTTCCTGGGTGGACAAATCCGAGTGAGGAGAGACCCCTGTGACCCAGGTGTGGGCCAAGACCCTCAATCCCCGTCCTCCATGCCCTGGCCTGCAAACTCACGCATAGGCCTCGAAGTCACCACTGTTGACGGCCTCAATGAGCTGCTCCGTGGTCTTAATGATCTCCTGCTTCCGGGCTGCAGGACGACATGGTGGATCCTATGACCATTGGGCAGTGGTTGGTTCTGCCAGCAACGTTCCCAGCACAGCCCAGGGAAGGGCCCTGCCTCCTCTCTGAAAGAGGTCCTTGAGCCTTACTGACTGGTACCTACATTGACCCCTCCATGACCTTCGCGGTCCCGAAGGGTTTTATTTCCCAGGGCAACAGCTTCTGCCTTGTTTTCCTTAAGCTGTTTCAAATGACAGAAGCGATCTGTCCCCGTTACAGAGTAGAGAATTAGATACACCCTGCCCACACTTGCCCTGCTCTTGCCCCCAGCCCACCACAGCTGTGGGGCTTCTCAGTGGTCTTCCCTGTAGCTCCCACCACTGCCTGCCTGCATTACCGCCTGCTTAGTGCCTTCTTTCTCCAACTTTGCTAAGGGCCTGTGCCAGACAAAGGAGGCAGAGATTGGCCTCACAAGGTAGAAACCCTGGAAAGAAACCAGTAGGGCTGGGGCTGTGGGCTGCATGGGAGGCTTCTGAGCAAAGGTCAGTCATGAAAGTAGAAGAGCCAATGCTGGTCTCTTATAACCCCATTTCCTGCTGGAAGCCACACCCAGGACCTCCTGCTTGTAGTCCTGGGCCTAGGCTGCAGGCACCCCTCCTGCTGTGCCCACCTGCCTGCTGGGGCGCCAAGCCCCACACCCCTCCCAGCCACTGCCCTCTGACCTCCCAGGGCAGCAGCTGGCAGCCTCCATTGGCTGCCTTAACTACAACTTGCTTTCATTGTAAAATATTTTGCATACAAGGAAGCAGCAGAAAGGATAATAGCCCAGGCCCCTGCTGGCTCAATGTAGCATTTCCCACATTCACTTGGGGAGGTTTGTTAACCATGATGTCTGCACTCTCTCCATGCTGTCCTCACTCATCGCTCAAAAGCAGTCCTGTCCTGAACTGGCACTTCTCCACTTCTCGGCATGCACACACACACTCACATGCTCACCGACACACAAGTTTCACAGCAATTCTTGGAGCGATAACTCACTCACGGCAAAAACTCAGACCTCAGAAGCACACTAAAAGCCCCAACTCCACACACACCCTCCCTGCAGGATTTGCTCACTCCCACGCAGGCCCATGTGCACTTTCCCCCCTTAGCCACAATGCCCCACACATGAGCCAAGCTGCATGTGCATGGGCTTGATGCCCAAAGAGGGCTGCCCCACCTCTCACCACACCCCCAGACTGTCTGCGTGCTCATCCACCCAGCACCCCTGGGGAGGTCAACTGGCTCCAGGGCAGAGGACACTGCTGCATAGGACTAGGTGTGCCCCTGTGTGTGCTGGTGTGTCATAGCATGGGTGCTAGGCACCTGTGTCTGCTCCCACTCTAGCCACAGCCCCTGCTCTGTGGCACCTCTGAGGAACCAGTTGCATTCATATGAGCAGGTGCATGTGTGTACACGTGCTCATGCATGCACACACATGGACAAATGTGTGTGTGCATGCATGTTTGTGTGTGCAGTGTATGCAAGTGTGAGTGTGACTGTGGGCAAGTGTGTGCATGTGCATGTATGCAATGCCCAGCTTGCAGAACCCTCACACACGTCTAGCCACACTGCTGCTACTATCCTATGCATCCTGACTGTGTCATGGTTCTTGCCCAAGACCATCATGCAAGCCTACCCCCACCCTTCAGAGCAGGCCTGGGAAACTGTCAGGAGGGTGAGCTGTGGTCCTTCTTTCCAGTTCCTGCCCCAGGCCCACACCCACCTGCCAGCCCCAGGAGGCACCAGAACTATCCTGACACCTGTAGTAGCTGTTCCCACCCTTGCCCCTTGAGCCGTGGGACTCTCCTCCTGTAAACCGCCTGGTTCAGCACCCAGTGTGCCAGCCACAGTGCCCTCCCCTCTCTGTCTCTCCCATGGGACCTGGGGCCCTCACTGTCCTGTCCTGGAGGTGTCCAAGTTGCAGTCTGACCTTTACCCCACCTGTGGCCACTGCCTGTCACCAGCTGTCTCATCCTGTGGGATGTGAAGACATCTCCCACTCATTGAAGTAACACTGGGGCTATAAACAACTGTCATTCAACATGGTATCGGGTGCCCAGGCAGACTGTGAACATATGAGGAGCAGCCAGTCATGGCACCAGTGAGAGGTGGGCCCATGCAGAAACACCTGCACTACAGATAGGGAAGCTGACGCTGCCATGACCTGCACCTGTGGAACAACTGCTGCCCGCCCCCCAGCATGATCCTGCCCAGACAGCATGTGGCATTTCTGTGGCCTCAATAGTATCCAGACCCCAGAGAAGGACAGGGATACAGGTGGAAGGTGCAGGGCCCAGCATGCAGAGACATCCAGAAGTGCAGCTTGGGGGAGCTAATGGCCTGGGGAAGCCTAGAGTGTCCAGGTGGGGCCAGAGCAGGTTCTGACCCTGGCCTGGGCAACTGTGACCCCAGGCTGGCCCCAGACCTATCCCTCCAAGCCAGTGGCGACCTGGGGTCAGCCTGGACCATGCACAATCGCTGATAGGGAGCACACGGCCTTTGATGCAGGACACATGGGCACAAGAGGCCTGGCCTGTGGTGGACAGTAGGCAGCTACCCCATCTATACACCAGGACAGCTGGAGGGCACCTCTAAGAAAGGAGGACAGTGGAAACTCTCAGGGCAGCACCATGCACAGAACATCTCGCCCAGCCCTGTCCAGCCTCTCCCAGCATGGCCAAACGAGCCCCCTCTTTCAGCCCCACCTTCCCCAGTCAAGCTCAGGAACAGATCTTGAAGAGCAGGTTCACTCCATAGCCAAGTTAGCCTTGAGAGCCCACCCCTGAACCAGCATCCCAGTGCCCCAGGCAGGCCCTGTCCTTAAAGCACCTCCCGACAGCTGCATCTTCACTCCAGCAAAGGCAGCAAGGTTTCTGAAGTCAGAAGAGACCAGAAATGGGTGAGGATCCTGACCGTGTGCCCACCACAGCTGCAGGGCAGGATCCCCTGCCCCCTGGCACCTCACTTTCAGCCCTCAAGGGCCACTTGCCAGGGGCCCCCAAGCTACCCGAATACCCCAATGCCCCATGGGTCTTGTGTGCCTGCAGGCTATGTCCCGCACCCTCTCTTGGCCACTGCCCCAGCACTCACCCAGCCACTGCCCTGCCATGCCTCACCCCTGGCCCAGCAGCCTCTTGTCTGAGAAGCTCTCAGTACTGCCCCCAGCCCGGTGTCTCCCTGGAGGTGGGGGTGGCTGTCATCCATCCCTGTAAGTGATACTGGGCACTGGCAGGCATTCGCAGACAGGCTGGGAGGCACCCAGCTCCTCCCTGCAGGGAGTGCCTCACCCTCCTCTTCCAGCCTTGCCTCCAGCTGCCCTTCAAGTCCGTACCTGCAGCCCCAGCCTGCTCTTCGATGGGCAGAACTCCTCAGGTCTGGAGCCGCACCCTTTCCCTGGCCCTAGGTGCAGGTGCAAAGTGCCAGGGCAGCAGGCAGATGGCCTCAACCTTGACCTCGCTCAGAGCACAGAGGAGCCAGCACCCTGGGCTGGCTGCAAACTCGCCATTTCTGGTGCTTTTCCTACATACAGCGTCCACACTGCGCATTCATACTTCCAACCATAATCTGCCATTTCTGGGCAAAAGTACCCTTGAATTTGCATCCCAGTGGTTCCTGGGACCCTGTAGCAGGAGCCCTGGGCCCTGCCCGCCCCACAAGCTGCCCTGGGCACACGGCAGGTCTCGCAGCCCGAGCCCCTCAGCAGCTGCTACTTACACGGGGCAGGGAGGGGGCCCGGGGGGGGCGGGGA